GGCAACAATGGTGTGTAAGATTAGAACAGTGGTATATAATTGACAACAATGGTGTATAAGATGACAGAAATAATGAGTAGAAGAATACAGCAATGGTGTATAGATGACAACAATGGTGTGTAAGATTACAACAACGAGGCGTAAGATTACAACAATGGTGTATAAGATGACAGAAATAATGAGTAGAAGAATACAACAATGGTGTGTATAGATGACAACAATGGTGTGTAAGATTACAACAATGGTATATAGATGACAACAATGGTGTATAAGATGACAGAAATAATGAGTGGATTACAACAATGGAGTATAAATGGCAACAATGGTGTGTAAGATTACAACAATGGTATATAATTGACAACAATGGTGTATAAGATGACAGAAATAATGAGTAGAATAATACACCAATGGTGTATTGATGACAACAATGGTGTGTAAGATTACAACAATGGTATATAGTTGACAACAATGGTGTATAAGATGACAGAAATAATGAGTAGAATACAACAATGGTGTGTATAAATTACAACAATGGTGTGTAAGATGATAATAATAATATATAGATGACAACAATGGTGTGTATAGATGACAACAATGGTGTATAAGATGACAGAAATAATGAGTAGAAAAATATAACAATGGTGTGTATAGATGACAACAATGGTGTGTATAAATTACAACAATGGTGTGTAAGATGACAATAATAATATATAGATGACAACAATGGTGTGTATAGATGACAACAATGGTATATAGTTTACAACAATGGTGTATAAGATGACAGAAATAATGAGTAAAAGAATACAACAATGGTGTATAGATGACAACAATGGTGTGTATAGATGACAACAATGGCATATAGATCTGATAGACACAAAGAAGACCCAGAAAGAAACTTAACCCTGAAAGCTTCATTTATTTTATAATCACTGTTTTGTAAGGTAATTATTGTTATTGTTATCTAATATACCCTGTGTACCTGATATAATGGAACTATCTCTGGAAAACTAAGTAATATGTATGAAGACCTGAGTGAGAAACGTTATAAACAGGACAATCTTGGGTATAATTATATTAACCCATGTCCAATCAGTACATGTTCCTATGTACAGAACTCTGATAGCCAAAAATATGACCTAGAAATTTGATGCATGAGCCGACGTTGCTGTCAACCAATAGGAAGACCACACCCAGCAGTTGATAGGTACTTGGTCAAAATTTATTATTATTTATCAGAGAATATCACAGATAAATAGATAAATTTAAGTTAAGAAAAATTCTGTTCCAAAGTTAAGAGAGGACTAAATTTTTATTATCAAATATCATTTAATTAAAATTAAAATATCATTTAGTATATATAATATTTCATTTATTATTTTTGATTATATTGTTTGTTATAATATTAATGAACACTAAAACATTAAAAGAAGGACGCCATTTTGATTCACCTGAAAATAGCAGACGAACTCAACAGTTAGGAGAGATAGGAGCATTTTGGGGCTATTGCACTATTTATAAATATGGTATATATGAAAATCTAGTGTACATATTCATAAATATATCTACTACATATATATATTTAATTCTATTTACATATCTACAATTACATATTAATTACATATATATATGTTGTAATATATTCCAATATATACCTATATTACCATGTGTTGTATAGTTATAATGTAATTGCCAAGTTGACAGAAATAAAATTTCGAGTGAGTGACAGCCGGCGCCAGTAGAGGAAAAAGGCCCGAAAAACATGTCGTGGTTCCCAGGTGTGCCCCTTTCGTATTCAAACAGATCAGTCCGCTTCGAGACACACGATTGACAGACCCCACAGGACAGATCTCCCCTGACCGGTGTCAGCTTCACTTACTCTCTCGCCATCTCTGTGATGACATCCAACATGTCTTTTGTGTAATCCCAATCACGTCTGAACCTACTTTAAACATTGTGGCCACCACGACTGTAACTCTAACGAATGACTCTGTTAAATCGATCACCAGAGGTCACGCTTCCCCTATAAAAACTCATTGTTGTTGTTTCCCGATGGCCGGCTCAAACCTTTTGTACATTATGTAAATAAGTTTTTCATTTTTTTTTATTCTTACGCCTTAAGCCAGGCAGTACTTTTATCTCATTATCTTTTTATAACAATGAGCCGACAGGATATTTACTTGTTTGTTCAAAATGGCAAAAGCAAAACTATCTAATATGCAAATTTTCTACGGTCAACAATAAATTTAGTCAACGCAACAAAACATAGCCTACTACAATCAAACAACTTACCTCAATCAATCATAGCCTTCTTCAACAAGACATATTCCAACGTCAACAGCAGAAATTATTCTTAAATATAACATATATATCATAATTTAAACAATGTGATATTTAAGTAATAAAGTATGACGTCTTTTCTAGTCGTCTCAAAGTGACACCAGCTTGCCACTGGACACCCGGGGGATCCAGAGAGGGACAAAGAAGGGGCGTTGGTCCGGATGTTGACAGTTAGTTAGGTTACAGTGGATATTTTCGGAGAGGGATGCTCAGTGCTAGGTCTCACGGCGGCCATCGTGGCCGCCGTTTTGGCTCCTCTCTGCCCCCGCGGCTTCATGCAGGACGCCGAGCTTTCCTCAGTTAATCCTCAACTTTCCCCTGGTCCTGGTGCCACGTGAGACGAACTAGGAGAGCGTCTTTTGATCCCAAACTTTGTCCTTTCTGTCCCGTGCGGACTTCCCACTCTGCACGGCTTGCCACTCAACCCCGACTGCTTCCAACTCACTTGTTGGCTTACCCGGGTTTACGACTTATATATATACTTATCAATGAGAGGTCATTCTTATATTTTAAGTGCTAACTGCTAAGTTCATATGCTAACTTACGAATATTTTTGTATTGCTTGTTACAATATTGCCACGTGGAAAATTAGGAAAGACAAACTTCAGGATGAGACAGCAATTTATTTAAGGTAAGAACAAACTATGAATGATAAACAAAAGATAAACAATGAGGGAAGTTTACAGAGTAACAAAATATAAACATCAAAATAATACTCTGTTAATAAAATAATAAATACATTGTTACATAGCTCCTTCCCCATGGAAGCTGTGACCCACAGCTTGCAATTATTGTAGTTACTGACATGGATCTGACGTGCTTCTGCCATCGAAGTCTTGGAACTTTGTTCCTAGTAACTTTGCGTCCTTTTTCTTGCGGCGTGAAGAGCGGCTTTGTCGTCGTATCGTCTATAGGGACATCGTCATCTTGGAGGGAAGTCTTGGCTTTGACACGGCGGTGGAATCCTGGAGCAAAAATTATACTCTGTTAATAAAATCATGGATAATTTGCTACAATATTAACAAAAATTGAAAAGAAGGACGCCATTTTGATTTCCTATAAGGTAGCAGACGAACTCAGCAGTTAGCACTTGAGAGATAAGAACGACCTCTCACTGATAAGTACCAGTGATAAGTGATGAATCGCTGGAATTCTATTTTTAATTATCTGAGATAGTAATGAAGTTAGGTAACATTTATGTCACCATAGATTCTTATATTTTTTAGATATTGTATCCTTTTATGTTACCGCTGGAATTACAGGATAGTATTGGAAGTTCTTACAGTCAATACAGGGGGTCGGTGGAAGGATGGTTTAAACCAGATGTCGGTAAACTGAAGCTCGCAAGACACATTCGGCTCTTTGGATGTGAAGCTCTTTATATAGTTCCCATATGTAAATATTATTTATACTGTTCATTATGGAAATATTGCGCCATCTATCGGAATAAATATCAACTATTCTCGTTGATTTTTAATTATTCCAGAATTTGTACTATTTGTACTATGTGTCGCGGTCTGACAATTCTGACAATTGTGTCGCGGTCTCACACAATTCTGGCCTTAATTACCCGTTTCATGATTTTTCAGGATGCCTTAATGACAAGTTTTTTTGGTCGTTGAGGTACAGCTTGCACCACATTGATAAGGGCCAACAGCCCGAAACGCGTCCGTGGTTAGCTTTTCTTGATTACTCAAGAATGGGTATTTGGCCAATTCTGGAATAATTAAAAATCAACGAGAATAGTTGATATTTTATTCCGATAGATGGCGCAAGCCATCAGCAACTTTCAGTTACACGATAAGAAGATGCCTTTTTTTCACTACATATTATATGATGCACTAGCGCGCCATCTGTTATCAAAATTCGAAACTATTCTAAAGACGTATGATTCTTTTGTATTGTAGATAATGGTAGATTAAACTGGCGAAACCGCTGGGAGGGTTTACCACTGATGAGCTAAGCCCTCCCATTAATTTTTCCATTACAGTGAGGACAGTAGAAATTGTTTAATTTCAAAAAGAATCTTACGCGTCTATAATAGTTTCGTGTTTTTAATACTATTTATTGTTGGCAAGAAAATATTGTGTGAATTTTTAAAAACTTTGAAACTTTGTAAATTGTAATTTTTGTCTCTTCCGACTCAAAATTTTGACGACCCCCTTGATCTAAACCATCGGTTTTCGACCGCTATGACCCAGGTTCGATTCCCGTATTGGACACTTTTTTTCTGATTAAAAAAATACTCCAATGATCCCCGATTCTTACAAAAGTTCAACCCCCACCAGCGAGTACAAGTAACCAAATAGGGCTCTGGCACATTTGTAAGTGCAAAGTCGAACTGCTTTTCACATGTGTAGACATGTAGTACACTTACAATAAAAGCAGTCGCCTACTTCTACCCACCATGATTATCATGACCTGTACCACGTGTATACATGTGGTGTACTTACAGTAAAAGCTGTCGTCAAATTCTACCCACCATGATTATCATGGCCTGTACCACGTGTACTAGGGATAAGCAAAAAAAAAACAGTCCACACGTCTTACAGACCAAGATTAAAATATACAAGTATCAGAGAGTCATAATCAACAATTAATCAATTCTGTCACCGTTTGCTTTTGTGAATGGAATAAATACCCAAATTTGCTATTTCTTATAAGCATCGGTGGTTCAGTGTCGAGAATGTTCGCCTGCCACGCGGGCGGCTCGGGTTCGAATCCCGGCCGATGCATTTTTTTTTTACAATTTTTAAAACTCATTTATATTATTATTATTAAAATATACAAGTATCAGAGTCATCAATTCTGTCATCGTTTGCTTTTATGAATGGAATGCTTTTACGTAATATACGTAAAATACGTAACTAATATGACTGAAATTTTAGCAGTATGTATAGAAATCTGGAAAAACTTATATTGAATATTTCAGGTCTCTATTCCGAATATTCTTCGAGTTATTTGCAATTTTGAGTTGCAAATTTGCTCTTTCTATCGCAAGCAGCGCCTCTAGCGGTGAAGATGGGAGGTAATATCAGCTGACCTAATGTACAGGTAAAACGTGTTTTAACAGGTCATAGAAAAAAATATGGAAGAGATATTTGTCGCATTTTTAGCCAAGAAAAATTGATATTGACAGGTTCTGGGCAAAAATAGCTGTTTTTTTTTAGTCAGAAAATGATTATGACAATATTGCTGTATCATATTTGATTATCAGATACAAAATTATTATATATCCAGAAAAATTCCAAAAAAGCAGAGACCACGGGTAAAGCCATTTCATTTTTAGTGTGCAGGAACAAAATTCTAACAGAAAAACATTCATTCGAGCAGAAGACACAAAGCCAGATCATCTCTTTATAAAAATATCGCTTCTCAGACACAAAGTTTGGAGCGTGACGTTTCACAAGAATGACATCCACGGCGCCAATTTATAATTGTAACGAATATTATTTGAATATTATAACCTCTGTGAAATCTTTAGGACAAAATAATAAAGCCTCCGAGGTTGCGTTTCTTTCTTTAAAACGTTTAATAATGCTCAAGCTTTCGGGTATGGTGGCCCTTCTACAGGAGGCCCATCTATTGACCGTCGCCACAAACTAGCGGCCTCAGGTCGGTGACAAAGCCACAACACCAGCTTTGGTAAACTGAGAAGTGTCCACCTAGAGACCATGGTTTCTGGCTAATGGCCCTCGTCAGTCTAGGGCGGACTTCAATCATAAAGATTTGACATTAACTTAGCTAACTAAACACCTCTTTGTCAGATTGTGAAGATTCCATTAGATCCCGTGTAGATCTCATGGAATAAAGTCCGCCCTAGACTGACGAGGGCCATTAGCCAGAAACAACGGTCTCTAGGTGGACACTTCTCAGTTTACCAAAGCTGGTGTTGTGGCTTTGTCACCGACCTGAGGCCGCTAGTTTGTGGCGACGGTCAATAGATGGTGTCTAGCTTTGACGTCTATTTTGACGGGAGAGGTGCCATAAGTATAGATATAGATTTTAAACAAATTTATTAACATCCATCAAAGTTTTTTAATTCTTCCTAGTGAATGTAGTACTGGCCATGATAATCATGGATAGAATTTGACGTCTGATTTTACTGTGAAAATCACATGTGAAAATCAGTTAGACTTTTATGCTTACAAGTGTTTCATAATCCCCGTTTTGATTACTTGCACTCACTGGTGGGGATGGACTTTTGCAAGAATCGGGGTCATTGGATAATTTTTTCTAATTATAAAAATTGTCCAATGCAGGGTTCGAACCCAGGACGTGTGTATCTAAAACCAACAGTTTACACAACTACACCACCAAGCTCAATACAAATAAGTTATGTATTCTTATATAAACTGAACAATGGATAGTGAACATCTGCAAGAATAGGAAGCCATTGAAGGAAATTTTACTTCAGAAAAAGTGTCCAAAGCGGGGTTCGAACCCAGGACGTGTGTATCTAAAACCAACAGTTTACACCACTACACCACCAAGCTTAATATCAATAAGTTATGTATTCTTATATGAACTGAACAATGGATAGTGAACATCTGCAAGAATAGGAGGCCATTGAAGGAAATTTTACTTAAGAAAAAAAGTGTCCAAAGCGGGATTCGAACCCAGCCCATGTGTATCTAAATTCAACAGTTTACACCACTACACCACCAAGCTCAATATCAATAAGTTATTTACTCTAATATAAACTGGAAAATGGGTAGTAAACATCTGCAACATTGAAGGAAATTTCACTTTAAAAAAAAGTGTCCAATAGGGTATTCGAACCCAGGCCATAGCGGTCAAAAATCAATGGTTTGGACCACTACACCACAAACCCTTTTAATCATTTGTTAAACTACGAGTACTTAAAATAACCAACAACAACACAGAAGGGTTCTGGTGAGAAAGAATAAAATGACAGACGATAGGTACAGCGGTACCGGATGTTTGCTTGTTGAACAGGGTGACCGCACCTCATCTCAAACAAACCGCCATTTCTATTTTTACCTTGCCACCGACGGGAAAGAATGGAGCCTTTGGTGTGTGACGTTCGTGGTTGACTTATGTTGGAATGGATAAATTATTTAATATATACACTCATGGACAAAACTAAAGGAAGCGGAAAATCTTTGATATTGCCTGTCGTCTATTTTATTGAAATATACAGAGGTTGTTCACACGTTACGACTGCTGTGATAGAGATGTATGGAAACATCTGAGGTTCTTCATTGGACACGACAACAACAGAAAATTGACCCAGAACAGCAGCTTTACACACCCAAGAACATTACGACTGCTGTGATAGAGATGTATGGAGACATCTGAGGCTCTTCATTGGACACGACAACAACAGAAAATTGACCCAGAACAGCAGCTTTACACACCCAAGAACATTACGACTGCTGTGATAGAGATGTATGGATACATCTGAGGCTCTTCATTGGACACGACAACAACAGAAAATTGACCCAGAACAGCAGCTTTACACACCCAAGAACATTACGACTGCTGTGATAGACATGTACGGAGACATCTGAGACTCTTCATTGGGCACGACAACAACAGAAAATTGACCCAGAACAGCAGCTTTACACACCCAAGAACATTGCGACTGCTGTGATAGAGATGTATGGAGACATCTGAGACTCTTCATTGGACACGACAACAACAGAAAATTGACCCAGAACAGCAGCTTTACACACCCAAGAACATTACGACTGCTGTGATAGACATGTACGGAGACATCTGAGACTCTTCATTGGGCACGACAACAACAGAAAATTGACCCAGAACAGCAGCTTTACACACCCAAGAACATTACGACTGCTGTGATAGAGATGTATCGAGACATCTGAGGCTCTTCATTGGACACAACAACAACAGAAAATTGAACCAGAACTGCAGCTTTACACACCCAAGAACGTTACGACTGCTGTGATAGAGATGAATGGAGGCATCTGAGGCTCTTCATCGGACATGAAAACAACATAATATAAATTATCAGTTTCTTAAAAGATCTTTCCTGCTCTAGATGAGATTATAATAAAGTTATAGATTGTTACAATTTCTCTACATTACGTGTGTCTCTTTCTCCGTTGATACATTCAACGTTGTCATCAAGTGCGCTAAGAGAACCGATCCAATTAACCCTAAACCCTAATTCGGTATGCAACTCACAAACACAGCTTTCATTCCTTCACGCACGCATACAATGACATTATCAAGACATACACACTTTTACAGCATTCTGTTGAGAAATACAAAAAGAAAATGGAGACAATAGAGCAAACATTGAATTCATTATACATTAAAACCTCCCTTTAGCGGACACTCAGCTAGCGGTCACCTCTTCACAAAGGACAGTTTTCATTAGTAAAATTACCATTTTTACAATTTAGGAACTCTACAGTAAGAGGACACCTCTCCCTAAAGGACACTTCGGCTCTGTAACTAGGTGTTGTCCTTTACAGAGAGGTAGTTCTACTGTAGCTGCTCTCCCTAAAGGACACTTTGGCTCTCTAACTAGGTGTTGTCCTTTACAGAGAGGTAGTTCTACTGTAGCTGCTCTTCCTAATGGACCCTTCGGCTCTGTAACTAGGTGTTGTCCTTTACAGAGAGGTAGTTCTACTGTAGCTGCTCTCCCTAAAGGACACTTTGGCTCTCTAACTAGGTGTTGTCCTTTACAGAGAGGTAGTTCTACTGTATCTGCTCTTCCTAATGGACCCTTCGGCTCTGTAACTAGGTGTTGTCCTTTACAGAGAGGTAGTTCTACTGTAGCTGCTCTCCCTAAAGGACACTTTGGCTCTCTAACTAGGTGTTGTCTTTTACAGAGAGGTAGTTCTACTGTAGCTGCTCTTCCTAATGGACCCTTCGGCTCTGTAACTAGGTGTTGTCCTTTACAGAGAGGTAGTTCTACTGTAGCTGCTCTCCATAAAGGACACTTTGGCTCTCTAACTAGGTGTTGTCCTTTACAGAGAGGTAGTTCTACTGTAGCTGCTCTTCCTAATGGACCCTTCGGCTCTGTAACTAGGTGTTGTCCTTTACAGAGAGGTAGTTCTACTGTAGCTGCTCTCCCTAAAGGACACTTTGGCTCTCTAACTAGGTGTTGTCCTTTACAGAGAGGTAGTTCTACTGTAGCTGCTCTTCCTAATGGACCCTTCGGCTCTGTAACTAGGTGTTGTCCTTTACAGAGAGGTAGTTCTACTGTATTGGTAAAATTGTTATAAACTGGTTTTATTGTTGTATTAATATATCAATTTGACATAAATGCAGCTTTATAAATTCAAATAAATTTATTTTTCTAATACAAAGAGAGGGAAAGAGTCTAAACTAAATAATTTAAAAGTGCGAAAAGGTTTTAGTTTTTATACTCAAAGCCACTTCTTCGTCTGTTTCAAATAAACAAATACTTGGTCATAAAATTTAAAAAACTACATTGATTTCACAGATTTTTAAATAATTTTATTTGTTTATCAATCTCACAACAGAAACTAACTCCGCCTTTGCCGGTCCCAAGCCCGGATGAAAAAAAGAGGAGGGGGAGCAGTAACAAGCTCACTAAAAAACCTGGGTTCAGCTGGCCATGCTGATAGTACCCTGTAAGAACTCCAGGGATACAGGATGAGCAGCGTTTGTACTCCATGTTAGGAGTGGCTGTACATGGTGTCTGTTCCTCATGTCACCATTTCATATTAGAGCTAAGTCAGTGGCCTGCTACTGAGTAGTGCTCCCAGTCTTA